AAGACACAAACATTTGAAAGCATTCACTTTTAAGAGGAATTTGAAAGCATCAACATTTTATGCCATCTGTGCTTGTTAAACTTAACTTTTGCATTAGTTATGAAGAAGAAGGAAAAATTGTTTAGGTAAATGTTAGTGGGATTTCTTATTTCCCACATATTATTGAGGTACAGTGCTGAAAATGTGTGATTTAGTGAGACTGATACTACGGAATACCAGTAGGGGTCAGTCATGGCCTATCAGTAGACTGCCAGTTTGCTAGGCTTTTTGAGCATTTATTGTTAAGTGGTTTATTTACTTTTTTTTTTTTTTTTTTTTTTTTTTTTACAGACTCCCTGTAGCACCAGCTGGTCTTGAACTCGCCATGTAGACCAGACTGGCCTTGGGGGCCTCAGTCTCTATCTCACAGCGATTTACCTGCCTCTTGCCTCCCTAGTGCTGGGATTAAAGCCCTGACTGGCCCTATTTATTTTTGTATTTTTAAAAGTCAGTGTTCCATGAACTGATGTTTCCTCAAGGTTAGTGTATCTATTTTTAAATTAGAAACACAGTGTACTGTACCTGTTAATAAACTCATAGTGATGAGTCCACAGCAGAAGTATGATCTCATTGCTTTCGTGTACAGCTATTACTCAAAAAACAAAACACAACTACAAAACAAAACAAAACTAGTTTTTCATGGAACAATTAGAATGCTCTCTGACTGAGCCAAATAAGCACCCAGAAATAATTACAGGTCATACAAGTTAACCAAGAAACAATATTGATACCCTCTCAGGTGAAACTAGATGAGGATCTGTCAACATTTTGTCCCTCTCAATCTTTGCTTTTTATAAGAATAATTACAATTAAGTCCTGTCCTATCATTCTTTAGTTTCCTAGGATGCTTTTGTATGTATGCCCATAAATGGAAGTGTGTATTCTTACTAGGAAAGATTCCAGTACTGAGAAACATTCCAGGGATTTGGATAGATCCTCTTGTAACATCTGAGGAAAGAAGTTTTGAAGTACCTCATAGACATCAAAATATGGGAGGCCACAGTTTGCATCACTTTAAATATAAGTGGTTCTTTCAACAGTGGGTGCTCAAATGCTTCCCTTCTTAATATTCATATTCAGTGATATTTGCTTATCAAAAAGGGCAAGGATATCTGTATCTAAGCAGCTTGAGATATTGATATTATATTGAAATACACTGTATGCCAGTGAAATTGCTAATGTTATTTTCTCTTTTTAGACTTAATTTTATTTGGGGTTGGAGAGATGGCTCAGCGGTTAAGAGCTCTGACCGCTCTTGCAGAGGACCCGGATTTGATTCCCAGCACCCTCATGGTGGCTACAAACCATCCTTAACTCCAGTTCCAGGGGAATCTGATGCCCTCTTCTGACCTCTGCAGCATTGCACAACACGGGTGCACTCACGTACATGCAGGCAATACACTCATACACAAAAAATTAAAATAATAAAATATTTTTTAAAATTTATTTTTATGTACATGAGTGTTTTGATTTTATGGATATGTGTGCCTATGTTGTGCAATGCCCACAGAGGCCAGAAGAGGCATGAGATCCCCTGTAACTGGAATTAAGGAGCGTTGTTAGCTGCCATATGGCTGCTAGAAACCAAACCAAGTTCTCTGCAAGAGCAGCTAGTGTTCTTAATTGCTAAGCTATCTCTCCAGCCTCCCAGTCTTATTTTCTTATCTAAATAAACCAGTGGATTTGCATTGTGTTTAGGATTTTTTTTTTTTTTGACACAGGGTCTCTCTGTAGTAGTCCCAGCTGGCCTGGAACTTGCAATGTAGACCAGGCTGGCCTCCATCTTGCAGAGATCCACCTGCCTCACCTCCCAGGTACTGGGATTAAAGATGTGTACCACCATGCCTGTCTGTGTTTAGGATCTTTTAATAAGCTATTCCTTAGTATAAAATTTCAGGCCTTATATTAGTTATAGAGTGGAGGCAGTTTGGCTATGGAGACTTGGTCCATGGCAGGCAGGAGCTAGTGGTAGTAGCTCTAGCAAAGCATGTTTACATATTGGCAGACCAGTAAGCAGAGACTATTCAGAAACAGGGCCAGAGTATGAGGCTCAAGGCAGGCCCCTAGTAACCTGTCTCCCCACTCCCCAGCTAGGACTTACTTTCTAAGGCTCCACAACTTTCCAAAACAGCATGGTCGTCTGGGCACCAGATGTTCAAACCTGAGCCTGTGGGCAACATTTTGTATTCAAATCTTAACAGTTCTTACTGATCTGTTCCTTGCCTTTTCCTGCAAAATTGTATGTCTTCAGACTTGATGACCCAGATATGCTAGACTGATGACATTTGTCCTATTGAGTATTTAGATCTCAAATTATATACAGTTAGTTAACCAGTTATATAATAGCTTATACCATACTGTACATAATACATTTTAAAACTTAATTTTTATTTTTTCAATTGTAAAAACCATATGTCCTAGTTTGCTTTCTATTGCTGTGATAAAACACTGACCAAAAACAACTTGGGTAGGAAAGGGTTTATTGTTTTGGTTGTTAGTCTTAGCCTTTAATGGCTGCGCTATCCCTCCAGCCCAGGAAAGTGTTTATTACATCTTACACTTTCAAGTGGTAGTCCACCTTTGAGGGAAATCAGGCAGGAACTCAGTACAGGAACCTCGAGGCAGGACTGAAGAACAGACCTGGGAGGAACACTAATTCTGGCTTGTTCTTCTGGCCTATGCTCAGCCTGATTTCTTATGTAACCCAGGCCCACCTCCCCAGAGGTGGCAACACCCACAGTGGGCTGGACCCTCCCATATCACTCAACAATCAAGAAAATGTTCCATAGACATACTCACAGGACAGTCTGATAGAGGAAGTTCCCCAGTTGAGGTTCTGCCTTCTCAGGCATGTCAAGTTGACAAGCCAATCATAACATGCCTGTTTATTGTTAAAAATTCAGATGATGCTGGGTGTGTTGGCACACACCTTTAATCGTAGCACTCAGAAGGTAAAGGCAGGCAGATATATATGAGATCAATGCCAACCTGGTCTACTTATTGAATTCCAGGCCAGCTAGTAGTACATAGTGAGACCCTGTCTCAAAACAAGATGAAACAACACACACACACACATACACACACACACACACACACACATGCACATGCACACAAAATTTCAAGTGATATAAGTAGATAGAAAATAGCAGTCCTAATTCTTTTTTATAATCACTGTTAGGGAGTTTCTGTATGAAAAGCTACTTTGTTATTGCAAATATAAAAAAATACTAGTCCCTAAAGCTTTAGTTTTTCTATTGGCATAATTTTTAATTAAAGATATTATGTTTCTGTGTATAGGTGAGGATGTGTACATGTGAATGTGGTGCCCGCAGATCCCCTGGAGCTAGAGTTCCAGGTGGTTGTGAGCCACCCTGTGTAGGTACTGGCAACTAAATTTTGGTCCTCTGCAAGAGCAGTGCTCCAGGTCACTTCTCTATTGCTGTCATAAAACACCAACCAAAAGCAACTTGGGGAGGAAAGGGTTTATTTCATCTTAGTCCATCATCACAGGAAGGCAAAACAGAAACCTGGAGGCAGGAATTGAAACAAGACTACTGCTTATTGGCTTGCTTCCACTGCCTTGCTCAGCTGCCTTTCTTACACAGCACAGGCCCACTAGCACAAGGATGGTACCACCCACAGTAGTCTAGACTCTCCACATTAATCAGCAATCAGGAAATGCACCACAGACATGCCCACAGGCCAGTCTGATGAAAGAAATTAATTGAGGGTCCTTCTTCCCAGGTGTGTCAAGTTAAGAGCCAACACTATGATAATCAGTGTATGTCCTTAACCACTGGACCATGTCTTTAGCCCCAAGCACAATTGTTTTTATAATTGGATTTTATAAAGCCTAAGATGCCTTTAGAACTACTACTCAGGAGTTATAGGAAAATAAATTGTAACTTCCTAAACATCCCTCCTCTTTTCCCTTTGCATATGTAACCTCCTGTGCTCAGAAGGAGAACTGAACGGCCCTCCTTTCCACCTCAGTGCAATCTCTTATAATTAGATTTGTCTTTCGGAATTCATATCAGACAGTTTTCTGAAAGCCATTCCTGATTCAGTCATTGAAACATAACTTATATTATAGTACTTTCAGATGTGGAATGGAAAAAAAAAAAAAAAAGCCTGTGTGCCCTTTTGGTTCTAATAGCTTACGTCTTTGTTTACTTGTAAATCTGAACTGTATGCATGTTTGTGATTACTTGTATAGTTATTTACAAGAAGCCTTCCCTCCATCCAGAGCCTCCTTCTTTCATCCTATGAGTAGAATTGTTCTAGAATTTTTCCATGGAAAGGCATTCCTCCCCATGGTAATTTCCTATGTGCTGTACCCTCTCTGTTCTAACCTCAGGTCTGACACTGTTGGCCCACCAGGCTCTGTTCCTTTTTGAGCCTTGTCGGGACATAGAACCTGGAGGCCTGGAGATTTTCCTCACTTTCTTTAGCAGCAAGACTTGGGAGTTTGAGGGCTGCGTAAGGGAATGGCATTAACAGCAGTTTATTTGCTCGGGGCTTTGGAGGCTAAAGTATGAAATTAGGATTTGGTGGTCAGGATGAGATCTCTTTGGGGATTCTAGAATCTTTTGAATGCCTGTCTCCCTGTGCAAGGTTTGCTGGCATTCCTTGGTATTGTTTGGCTACAGCTGCCTCTCTCCAACCTCTGACTCTCTCATCTGTGACCTTCTTCCCTCTGTCTGTGTCTGTTGAACAGTTTTATTTCTTCCATGACTATGGATCATAGGGATTCTGGTTTCTTTAGGGAATGTTGAATTTAACTGTTCGAGTTTATAAGTTGTATTGCAGTTGATGTAAATACAAACCCCAGACCTGCTGACTTACTATTTTCACATTCTCTAAATTTACATCCCTCAAGAAGATAGTATATTGTTTAAGCTAACTAGAAATGTTAACAGTTTTTCAAAGATAAAATTTAATTCTGAGTTTTTAATTTTCAGCCAGAAAATCTTGCTGAGAAGCTTCCCAACCTTGTGGAACTGTGAGTCTGCTTATTCAGTTTTTCTTTCTTTCTTTCTTTCTTTCTTTCTTTCTTTCTTTCTTTCTTTCTTTCTTTCTTTCTTTCTTTCTTTTAAATAAGAGTGGGAATAATTTTAAGTTATTTGAAATAATAGGGCATGCTTCAAAGTGTTACTTTGTTACTTTTGGGTATGGTTATACGGTGCCTATGGGTAGACCTGTGGCTTTGTTAAACTTGATAGCATGTTAGAATCTTCTAAAGTTGTATTTCAGTAGCTCAGCTTAGGTAATGAAGATGCTGTGGGTGCAGTGTGTTATCACAGAATCCTTGGGGTAGTCCATGTGATGGGGAAATCTATATTATTCCTGCATGTGGTACTTGAGATAAACTCATGGCAAAATGTTTAAAATGTCAGTGAAAGTCACTCCCTGTATCCTCTGCGCATTGTTAGTTTTAGTTCTTTTGAACACTCCTTCCATATTTCTACATAACACACCTTTTTTGTTTGTTTTTGTTTTCCTTTTGTGTTGTGGGCATTCCGTGTGCATGATAGGCCAGTGCTTTACCACTGAGCTGTATGCCAAGACCCATACTTTTGTTATTTAATTTTATTGTCATTATAATTTTTGTGTATACATGTATGTGGTATTTGTGTGTGGTTGTACATGAGTGTGGGGGATGCATCACATCTCTCACAGTGTGAACACATACCTACCAGTATCACATCTATCAAAGTGTGAGCACACACCTAGCTACATCACATCTATCACAGTGTAAACTCACACCTAGCAACATCACAGCTGTCACCGTGTGAGCACATACCTAGCAACATCACAACTGTCACCATGTGAGTACACACCTAGCAACATCACAGCTGTCACAGTGTGAGCACACTCTGATGTTCATACACAATGAATTGTCTGATGTGACAGTAAAATTGCCTCCTATCTTTCAGCACACAGCCATCCTTGAACAACACATGACTGCACTTCATTGCCAGTCCCTGCCTGTCTTGAACTCTATTTACACATGTATTAGACCTGTTGGAGTCATACCTGTGGGGCTCTGTCCAGGTTCCGTCAGCCTTTCCCTCTCTTCACTTTGGATTGGAGCATTTATGCTCTTCTCTATTTAGGTTATTGACACTTTTCTTTGTTGTGGCTTTTTTTTTTTTTTTTTCGTGCTGTTCAGCTTTATCTGATAAATTTTTTAGCTTTAGAATTTTTTAAGGTTTCTTTTTGTCTGTTAAGATTTACTATATGTTTTTAGTGTTACAGGCTGTAGTGAAGGGTTATATTTTATGATGCCTCTGTATCCATTTTAAATATAAGTTGGATTTTCATATACCAGGAGCAGGACTCAGTCATCCTTGACTCTTTCTAGTTCTGCACCCTCTTCTTCCCCTTAGTTTAGCTTTAGAATTTTTTAAGGTTTCTTTTTGTCTGTTAAGATTTACTATTTGTTTTTAGTGTTACAGGCTGTAGTGAAGGGTTATATTTTATGATGCCTCTGTATCCATTTTAAATATAAGTTGGATTTTCATATACCAGGAGCAGGACTCAGTCATCCTTGACTCTTTCTAGTTCTGCACCCTCTTCTTCCCCTTAGTTCCTCAGAGTCAGTGGTTCTCATCTCTGCCATGGACAGCTGCTCTCTGCTGACCACTCCCATGTGAGATAAGTAGTATAAACCAGCTAGGCCCCCTGACTCTCAACTTGGCATGGGCTCTGCAGGTATACCATAGTGAGTATTTCCCAGCACTGTCTGACCATCTGGAACTCATGCCTGCTTGCTTTAAACACACCAATTAAACTCTTTTTTTTGAGAAATCTATCTGGATACTGCCCTGGTCCCCAGGGAAGGCATCAGTCCATAGGTCCCTGTCTTTCACTATAGGTCCCTGCCCTCTGTGTGTAGTCTCCGGATTACTGTGTATCATCCAGGACCTATAAATAAAGAAATCTTATTTTGGTCATGTGTGTCTCTTAATCATTAACGGCGCTTTCAATTTTAAAGTTCTTAAATTAAAACATGCCTATTTTATTTTAGATAACTGCATAATTTACAGGAAGTTCTAGTTGCTACTTTATTAAGTCCTTTAGCTGGCAAGATGTCTCAGCAGGTAAAGCCCCTTCCTGCCAAGTCTGATGACTGGAGTTCAACCTGAGAACTGACTCCTGCAAGTTGTCCTCAGCGCACATGTGCCCACACACATTATAAGTATAAAATATTTTCAAAATTCTTGTTTGCTAATTCCAGCATCTAAGGTGTCTTAGGTTGCTATCAATTACTTATCTTTGTTGTTGCTGTTATTGATAATGAGCCATATTTTCTTGGGTTTTCCTATGCTGAGTATTTTTTTATATTTTAATTTGATTTTTAATTATGTGTGTATGTGTGTATATGTATGTACGTGTGAGTGCAGTTACCCACAGAGGCCAGAAGAGAACATTGAATCTCCTGGAGCTGGAGTTACAGGCAGTTGTGAACTGCGTGACATGAGTGCTAGGAACCAAACCCAGGTCTTCTGCAAGAGCAGCAAGTGCTTTAAACTGCTAAGCCATTTCGCCTGTCTCCTTATGTTGACTAATTTTAATTTTAGCTTAGATCTTAGAAATTGGGAATTATTGTTTTGCAGACTGGAATCTATTATATTTTATCAGAGTATTGATATTTTTGTTTCAGCACGTAATTTACCTAGTGTGACTCGGACAGTAACCTTTGTCTCTTAGACGGCAATTGGAATCGTAGTGTGATCCTTTTACCCTTAGCTGTGGTTTCTTCCACCTATGAAGAGTTCTATGGCCAGCCATTGATTTAGGTAGATTTTATATACAAACTCTGGTTCCCTCTCCTTTCTCTTTCTAGTACTCTCTTTTTCCTCACCAGTGGTTATGGGTCCCTAAAATCTGCCCTCTGATTCTTTGGTTTAGCAAGACTGAAATTTCCTAGTAGAATTTTAGTCATGGTTATTGTATGAACCCTACCTTAGACTATATACTCTTTTCTAAGAAAGCAAAATAAAACCCCAGTACCAGTCCTCCTTCTAAGTTTGACTCTCCTACAGAACTGCACTGTAAGCCTTAGGATTGTGTGTGTGTGTGTGTGTGTGTGTTTCCTTTGGTGTTTGAGTTGTTTCCTGCCGGAGAATGAACACAGTCAGAGTGAATTCTGTTGTACTGGAATTTGAACTCACATTCTTTTAACATATGGGTGTGTCAGAGAATGTACTGTGGGGAGGGGGTTGTGGAAGGGTAGAGGCTATGAAACACCAGTGAAATATAAAATGGCATGACTAACTTTGAAAATTATTTGGCAGTTTCTTTTAAAGTACTACTCAGCAAAAGTGATAGAGTAAAAACCCCTTTAAATTTATTTTTAATTTTTGTTTTATGCATATGCATATATTGCCTGCATGTATGTAAGTGCACCTGTGTTGTGCAATGCACACAGAGGAAAGAAGAGGCTGTCAGATCCCCTGAAACTAGAGTTACAGACAGTTGTTAGCTGCCATGTGGGTGCTGGGATTCAAAACTGTGTCTTCTGCAAGAACAGTCAGTGTTCTTAACCTCTGAGCCATCTCTCCAGCCCCAGAACTACTTTTCTATAAAATCAATGCAAATTCTGGCAAAGATTTTCAGAAGCTACATTTGCAGAACTGTGGAAATTAACCCACAGCCTGCAGTAATATGGGAGTGTCTATGTGAGAAAAACCCTGCAGGATGTCAGACAGTAGGCTGTGAGCCTTGTGGGGTTTTTCTTGTGCTAGTTCCATGCCCCACTCTCCATGTCTGCAGCATTGGCCAAAGCCAAGAGCACATAATTAAATGGGAAAGCAGTAGCCTCAGGAAAAGCTAACTTGGAAGCGTTCCCAAGCCTCTTTCCCAAAGAATTATCATTATTCACCTGGTGTGAGTTCCTTGGAAGACTTAACTTGAAAAGCTGTCTTTACTTACCATTTTAGTAAGGTAAGTCCAAAATTTGTAGCACAAAATCCTATGCCCAATGCTATTAAGTTTAAACAAATTACAGACAACTGTTTAATTTTATAGTTGTGTGAGGCAGTAGGAAACAACTCTAATGAATGATACATAAATCAGAAAACTCAGAGGAAAGCTAGTGGGGAAATGTCCCTAAGAACTTTGGAAATCCAGCCGACCAGTGGCACATGTGGGATGTTCACAGGCCCAGAGCTGTGCAAATGTTCAAGTAAGATCTGAGAAAGCCCTGAACTTAAGGCTCCACACAGTGTAAAGAGAAGGCTAGACCTGACAGCTGACAACTGAGAGGTGAAGGCATGCCACAACACAGAGACTCTCAGCAAAGACTAAGGGGTTAAATCATTCAAGCAATTAAGGAAATGTCTGTCTAATCCTAAGGTGACCACTAAAAGCTTATGAACAAGTCTTCATACAGTAAGTCTATAGTAACTGTGGTTGAGGGTCAGCTCATGATTGGATAGAGACCACTAAAATAACTTGGTAAATAATTTTACAAAGATGGGACAAGGTAAAGAAAAATGAGAGTCCAGGAAAAAACTCTTGCCAACTCACTCATTCTGAGGCTAATATTACCATGATACCAATTGCAGAAAAAAAAAAAAATCAGAAGACTGCAAAGAAATAGTTGCTGTGAGCTGGAGAGATGGCTCAGCAGTTAAGAGCACTGGCTGCCCTTGCAGAGGACCCAGGTTCAATTCCCAGCACCCACATGGTGGCCAACAACCATCTGTAACTTCATTTCCAGGGGAATATAATGCCCTCTTCTGACCTCTGTGGGTATTGCATGACTTGAGTGCACTTACACACATGTAGGCAATACACTCATACACATAAAAATAATAAAATATTAATAAAACAAAGCTCAACAAACAAAAAGAAGAGAACTTTCTCAATTACAAAGTTCTTAGGAAAACCTACAGCTAACATTGTATTTAATGCAAAAAGACTGGAAGGTCTAAAAGAATACTTTCTCATCACTTCTTTTCACATTCTATGTTCTAGCTAAGGCACTTAAGAAAA